TAGATATAGATATAGATATAGATATAGATATAGATATAGATATAGATATAGATATAGATATAGATATAGATATAAATCCGAATCTTCTTCCTCACCTTATGGGACAGCACTTCTATGCGATTCTCAGCTAGTTTTTGGTGTTAAATATTATGCGTCGCGTCAATGCTGTGGCAAATCAAGCTATATGGCACGCTTGTGCCCCGATCCCATTATAATGAGATGCTAATACCTGGAATTCGTTAAGACTCAATTTACAACCTGACTTTTGTGTAGTTTATTTAAATTGGAGCTCAGTACATTTGGCATTTCGCATTAGAGCTGCCCGTGGCCCATTTTAGTACGCATTAGTATTAAAGGTATATAGGTATACCCAGAGTTACGTATTTATATACATATATACATATATGTATATCATCTATGTGTGAGTGTGTCTCGACAAAGCAGAGTTCTAAGCGAGGTTGTTGAACGAGCGTTCCTACAAGCATATACGATGTATATTATATATAGATTTGTACATACATATATGTGTATCGTATATCCCTCTTTCTCTTCCTCTGCCTTCACTTTGCTCTACGCTCTTCGATCAGCCCTCGATCGGCTTCTGCTATGCAAATGGAGTTCGCCTTTGAGGCCAACTCGCATTCGTAATGCCCGCCCATGCGCCAAATTTTCGTATCTAACTCAATTAGCATTCAATTTCGCTGTCTGCCGCAAAACAGGTGTAAATCACTTATAATTTTAGATCTAGCTCATTTTAAGTTTTATGAAGCGCATTTCAATGTTTCACGAAAAAATGAGTGAAAATAAAATGAATAAATTATTAAATTTCGCTAGAAATAGCTAAAAAACTTGTTTCAAATTTCGATGGATTTTGGTATCTAAATAACGATATTTCCCATCATATAAGATTCTGATATAGTACATCCTACAACAGGAAAAATATTCAGCTCTAGAACTAGGAATTCGAAAGGATTCTCTCCAAGTATTCTGAATATTGTCAATTAGCTAAAATGAACTAAAATGATAAAAAAGAAATTATATTTCAGACTTCGATTCGCGAGCTTTGTTAGCTATATAGTATATATATATAAATATGTAGTATGATTTGCAACATCCACATCTCTATAGATCCACATCTCTATCAACATTACTATCGCATAGTAACTAAGCTTGGCAATTGTGTTTTATGTTTTGTAGGATATTTTCCGCAATCAGCATCGCTTGATCCGCTTCATTGAGCAGTCGATCAGGCTGTGCAGCAATCAGTCGCTGAAGACGGCACAGCAGCAGCATCAGAAGAGCAATGCCACAGCCGATTTCGAGATCAGCGCCTCGGTCAACACAGAGTACACACACGCCCCGGAGCCGATCAAGCACGACAAGGACTTGGGGCAACAGTTCAAGGCGTCACAGCTGGCTGTGCGCCTGGCCACGCCCCAACAGCTGCAGCCCAAGCCGGACAACGACGAGGAGCTGGGCTTCGGCAAACTGTTCACAGATCATATGCTCAAGATCTACTACCACAAGAGTCTGGGCGGCTGGCAGAGGCCGGAGATAACGCCGCTGGAGAATCTAGTTATGCATCCAGCTGCCAAGGTGCTGCACTATGCCGTTGAGGTGAGTAGATCCGCTTAGTTGCGTTAGTCGCATCGACATCGCCATCCACATCCAATGTCATCCCAGCTGATTCGCTTCTCCCATCGTTGCAGCTCTTTGAGGGCATGAAGGCCTACCGCGGCGTCGACGGCAAGATACGCATCTTCCGGCCGGACATGAACATGGCCCGCATGAACTTGGCCGCCCAGCGGTCCGGCCTGCCCACCTTCGAGGGCAAGGAGTTTGTCAAGTGCCTCGCCCGTCTGCTCTCTATCGACTCCGAGTGGGTGCCACACACAGAAGCCGCCAGCCTCTATATCCGACCCACCCTGATTGGCATCGATGTAAGCTACGCTAGCCAAGCTCAACCCCAAGCCACGTTGACCTTTGTCCTTTGCCATTGCAGCCCACGTTAGGCGTCGCCTCATCCGACTCGGCGCTGCTCTACTCCATACTCAGCCCGGTGGGCAGCTACTTCAAGACTGGCAGCAATGGCGCTGTCTCCCTGCTCGCCGATCCCCGATACACGCGCGCCTGGCCCGGCGGCGTGGGCAATCGCAAAATGGGCTCCAACTATGCACCCACCATCAACGTACAAAAGGAGGCGGCCGCCCGCGGGCTCCAGCAGGTGCTCTGGCTCTACGGCGAGGACCATCAGCTCACCGAGGTGGGCACCATGAACATCTTCATGTTCTATGTCAACGACCAAGGAGGTGAGTAACCAGTGTTGCACAACTTTTAACACTCCTGGGTCTATTGGCTCTTTGCCTCTGATCAGTTTCTCTGAATGATTCGAGTCTGTCCTAGAAAACGTTATCCAATTCTTTTGCTGCTTCTCCACTTTTCTGCATATTCGCTGAAAAAGAAGAAGGAATTGCTATTTATTTATTTTATACAATTTAATTAATTTTCCAACTTTTACAATTATTTTTTATTAAAAC